TATCAGTATAATTTTTGACTGGAGTATTATATATATTTGACAGGAGTATGGTATCAGTATAATTTTTGACTGGAGTATTATATATATTTGACAGGAGTATGGTATCAGTATAATTTTTGACTGGAGTATTATATATATTTGACAGGAGTATGGTATCAGTATAATTTTTGACTGGAGTATTATATATATTTGACAGGAGTATGGTATCAGTATAATTTTTGACTGGAGTATTATATATATTTGACAGGAGTATGGTATCAGTATAATTTTTGACTGGAGTATTATATATATTTGACAGGAGTATGGTATCAGTATAATTTTTGACTGGAGTATTATATATATTTGACAGGAGTATGGTATCAGTATAATTTTTGACTGGAGTATTATATATATTTGACAGGAGTATGGTATCAGTATAATTTTTGACTGGAGTATTATATATATTTGACAGGAGTATGGTATCAGTATAATTTTTGACTGGAGTATTATATATATTTGACAGGAGTATGGTATCAGTATAATTTTTGACTGGAGTATTATATATATTTGACAGGAGTATGGTATCAGTATAATTTTTGACTGGAGTATTATATATATTTGACAGGAGTATGGTATCAGTATAATTTTTGACTGGAGTATTATATATATTTGACAGGAGTATGGTATCAGTATAATTTTTGACTGGAGTATTATATATATTTGACAGGAGTATGGTATCAGTATAATTTTTGACTGGAGTATTATATATATTTGACAGGAGTATGGTATCAGTATAATTTTTGACTGGAGTATTATATATATTTGACAGGAGTATGGTATCAGTATAATTTTTGACTGGAGTATTATATATATTTGACAGGAGTATGGTATCAGTATAATTTTTGACTGGAGTATTATATATATTTGACAGGAGTATGGTATCAGTATAATTTTTGACTGGAGTATTATATATATTTGACAGGAGTATGGTATCAGTATAATTTTTGACTGGAGTATTATATATATTTGACAGGAGTATGGTATAACTAAGGGTGAGAAGCAGCACATCTCCCAGAGTCTGTGTACACCTCTGATGAGGAAGATTAGGAGTGATCTACAGCAGTGTGTCTCCCCGTTTGAAGATGAAGAAGGAGAAAGTACACGTCTTAACTCCAGGTACATACAACATACATTAATGTATTCCGGTAAATTTTTGCTGCAGTATAATTTTTTTCGCCCTTCATTATAAGGGCAAAATTATTATTACAGTGAACATAAGTAAACAACATAATGATGGACCCATATCACTCTGTCTGTCTGTCTGTCTGTCTGTCTGTCTGTTTTTCCCGTCCACAAATTTTGTTCCTGGCTGATAACTTTGTTATATATGGACTGATTTACATAAAACTTGGTCAAGCTGTTCAGTTTGCAAAAATACACACTGAGGTGAAAAGTCGAGGTCAAAGGTTGAAGTATTTGGGTTCAATGGTCAAGGTCAAATTTTGCTTCTTTTCACTGATGAACATTTTGTTACTACATGATGAAGCAAATTTGATCAGAATTATACAAGGAGTCAACTGACCAAAGGTCAAGGTCAAGGTCACTGGGTCAAAGGTCAAATTAAATATTTTTTCACTAATGAGCATTTTATGACATTATGAAGCACAGTTGGTTGGAATTAAACAAAGAGAAACACTGCAGTAAAAAGTCAAGATCATTAGGTTCCAAGGTCAAGGTCAAATTTTGCATCTTTTCACTTATGAACATTTTGTTATGACATGATGAGGCCAATTTTTTTAGCTTTTCACAAATGAGCATTTTATGACATTATGAAGCAAAGTTGATCGGAATTAAACAAAGAGTCAGCTGACCAAAGGTCAAGGTCATTGGGTCAAAGGTCAGGGTTAGATTTTGTACCTATTCACTGGTGAACATTTTGTTATGACACTTTGAAGCAATGTTGGTCAGAATTAAACAAGGAGTCAATTGACCAAAGGTCAAGGTCACTGGGTCAAATGGGCAGATTGCTTCTTGATGATTATGGGGGATATATTGCCACAAGACAGGGCCCTTACTGACCTGTCAGTGTTTTAGTTGACATAGTAATGAAATGTGACGGCAATCTGAAACCTAGGTTAATTGAATTTGAACCTTGAAGGGCGAAAATTTGACTGGTGAACATTTCCAGGTATACAGTAATCAGACGGTTTTCTGTATCACTGTGGATTACCTATACTTTACGTTTATATAGACATGATGTTTTGCATGTAGAGTTGTCTGCAGCAGTATAGGCTTGAAAAGGCCATGAATTATGGAGGTTACCTCGAAGAAAATCTTAATCAGGTGTAAACAAGTTGATAACATTTAGAAGTGAAGCAACACTTACAATCGTGTCACCTACAGGATACAATGAAGAATTGAACCAGGAACCTGGGCCCAGATATTTTGTGCTCTAGCCCAATTTCTTATTCCAATCATAAATTAATACAAAAATGTTTTTAAGAGACTTGGGACCGAATACCAATTTCAGTGTTTAAAGTTGATCTTTTGACTGAGTGATGTATAATTTTAATCCTGTTGCAAGAAAGTAGGTTTAAGCACAGAATCCATGCTTGAGTACTGTTTACTGTTTAATTACTTCATTTACTTATATTTACATTTGCGCTGCAACCTGCTATATGAACATTACCAGAAGAAATACATATCATTCAAGTATGAAAGCAGAAACTCTTGTAACACGTGGTTTACTTATGACGTCATAGATTAACTTTGTTCAATGAGAGTCTTGTCACTTCGCTTCGGATAACATGGAGAATGCACCTGCGTCAAACGCTGAAATGACTGCGGTTAATTGTTGGCGCCAATTTTAGTTAAATAGGGCTGTTCCACCAATGTCCTTTAAAGGACGACGATTATACAAAATGCAGTTAATAAATAAATTATCAAAGAACAAATAGATAAAGTTAAACAATTATTCTATAATAAAAATGTAAATAGAAAAATGTATATGGATTGAACAGCTTTTTTTAAAGTCTCATGCTGGTATGAACGCAAATCGGTTACATCCATATTAAACATGAAGCCCGCTACAAACTTGGGACTGAGCAGGCTTCATGCAATATGGAGGTCGCTGATTTGCGTTTATACCGGCATGAAAATTTAAAAAAAACGCCGTTCAATCCCTATTTAGTTTAAATTTCTGGTTTCAGAATTCACTCCAGAGTTTATCTTTTAGCATTTTCAAATATTTTTATAAAAATTTAACATATGATATTGAAGTAAAGTTTAAATGTGATGTCAGGTGTGTGTTTGATTGAATATGATGTCAGGTGTGTGTTTGACTTAATGCGATGTCAGGTGTGTGTTTGATTAAGTGTGATGTCAGGTGTGTGTTTGCTTTAATGTGATGTCAGGTGTGTGTTTGATTTAATGCGATGTCAGGTGTGTGTTTGATTGAATGTGATGTCAGGTGTGTGTTTGATTAAGTGTGATGTCAGGTGTGTGTTTGATTTAATGTGATGTCAGGTGTATGTTTGATTCAATGTGATGTCAGGTGTATGTTTGATTTAATGTGATGTCAGGTGTGTGTTTGATTTAATGTGATGTCAGGTGTGTGCTTGCTTTAATGTGATGTCAGGTGTGTGATTTAATGTGATGTCAGGTGTGTGTTTGATTTAATGCGATGTCAGGTGTGTATTTGATTTAATGTGATGTCAGTTGTGTGTTTGATTTAATGCGATGTCAGGTGTGTATTTGATTTAATGTGATGTCAGGTGTGTGTTTGATTTAATGCGATGTCAGGTGTGTATTTGATTTAATGTGATGTCAGGTGTGTGTTTGATTTAATGTGATGTCAGGTGTGTGTTTGATTCAATGTGATGTCAGGTGCGTGTTTGATTTAATGTGATGTCAGGTGTGTATTTGATTTAATGTGATGTCAGGTGTGTGTTTGACACACAACAGTCATTCTTTTTCAACCGTACAGTTAAACATTATTATGTTTGTATTAAGATATACCAACAATGTGGCATCCCCGGAGAGATTTGTGAGGACACGGCTATATTTCACAAGTGAGAGTCACATCCACTCCCTTCTCAACATGCTGCGATACGGAGAACTCTGTAAGGTACGTAGCTAGACCACCCCGGGGGTTTATTTACATGTTCCATATGAGGCTATTCTGTCTTTTTGTATTGCAGAGTTATCTGCTCTTGTGAGCAGGTATTGTTTGTTACGTCATTTGTTTGTGAGAGTAACGTCATTAATTTTTGAGAAAACGACATAATTTTCTCGTGATAATCAATACCTGCTCACAAGAGAAGATAACTCTGCAATATGCAAAGACGGAATAGAGCTAGGCATACAGGGTGATATTATAGAGACGGTTGTAAGGGTGGTAACTAGACCACTCAATTTATATGTTATATTTCTCCCACATTAAGAATCTCTTAACACTTCCAATTTGGTCAACAAAAGAGTGATTTTTGTAAAATTAAGTTGATATTTGTATTGATATAGATATTAATAAACTGACCCTATTACCTGTTTCTAGGAACCCACCGATCCCCAGTGGACCAAGGCCATGGATTTTGTGAGTGAATTATCTGAGCTTAACTACATGACACAGATCGTGATAATGATGTTCGAGGACCCAAGCAAGGTGAGTGGTGGAGAATTCATATCATTTACAATATCAGAACTCACCCATGTCAAAGCTTTACTTTATACACAAACAGTTTACGTAATAAACATGTTGCAACGTTTCAAGACTGACTGGTCCCCTTGTTAAGCTATGACTGAGTATCTCAATGTTGTATTATAAGACTGACTGGTCCGTTTGTCAAGCTATGACTGAGTGTCACAATGTTGTATTATAAGACTGACTGGTCCGTTTGTCAAGCTATGACTGAGTATCTCAATGTTGTATTATAAGACCGACTGGCCCCTTTGTCAAGCTATGACTGAGTATCTCAATGTTGTATTATAAGACCGACTGGTCCCCTTGTCAAGCTATGACTGAGTATCACAATGTTGTATTATAAGACTGACTCGTCCGTTTGTTAAGCTATGACTGAGTATCTCAATGTTGTATTATAAGACCGACTGGTCCCTTTGTCAAGCTATGACTGAGTATCTCAATGTTGTATTATAAGACCGACTGGTCC